CTTACACTTTCCAGAGCACATATTACATTCTTTTGCCATTGCCTAAATTCTTAACGCATCCTCCATTAGTCATCCATCTCGCACTGTACAAGTGATAATTATTTTCTAAATGACCGAATGGCTGATTGAATGGATGTCACCAAATCCCACTGATCTGACACAGTGCTTCCTTCTCTGCTTGATCTTTTTCACCAGACTCTTGGCTCACCTGGCTGGCAAGGGACTATCTGATTCTTATGCAATGTGTGTCTAGTTTTATTATAACAAATGAAATGGACATTAATGCTTTCTTATTGCTCCAGGATATTATTTATATTGATTGATAGATTTATATGGACCAATGGTTTAGGTTGGATTTTCTGGTATGGAGTTACACATGAATTATTATTGTTTATTATGAAAGCACTGATTAGCCCTGGCTGGTGTAGCTCAGTGGATTGGGCACTGGCCTGAGAACCAAAGGATCGTGGTTCGATTCCCAGTCAGGGCACATGCCTGGGTTTCAGGCCAGTTCCCAGTGGGGGATGCATGAGAAGCAACCATACACTGATATTTCTCTCCCTCTCTCCTTCCCTTCCCTTCTAAAAATAAATAAAATCTAAAAAATAAAAAAAAAGCATTGATTAATGAAGACCTTGATCTTTAGTTTGTGTGATATATATTCCTTGAAATAATTCGAAATACCTAATTCAGATGATAAGAAAAGATAGAGGAATAAAATGTGCTTATTTCACTCCTTTTGTTGAATATCCAGACACTAGGGTTTGAGATACAATCATCTGTCATTTACCTATAAAATACCTTTGCAATTTAAATGGCTATTTTGAGGAAGCAATTAAAATGGTAACAGAGTAAATAAAAATAACATATAAGTATTCACATATTTGCCAATTTAGTCTCCATCAGAAAATTCCAAGAGACTTTATATTGGTTATTTTCTAAGGTTACTTAATTCCTATACTAATATTTAACAGATATCAATAGTATTGATAATACTTAGTATAGCTGTCTCTTCAGGGTCCATAGAAAATGTGAAGCATGCCCTTTGTCTACAAGGATAGAAGAAATACCAGAGTTTTACCGCCTGAGATTCAGAATTTCAGAACACAGCTTATTTGAAGATAGATGGGAAGACTAGTTCCTGTTTCTTTAGCGAGGCTATAGGAAAGAGAAAGAGTCGGGAGTAAGATTATGCGTAAAGTATTGAGCCTGCAGCCTGTGTTTGTGCCCTGAATGAGAACTGACCCCACAGTCTTTTGGTGTATGGATGATGCTCTCATCAACTGAGCCACCCAGTCAGGGCAAAGTATTTTAAAATGTCCCAAGCTTTAGACTATTTGATGCTGGTAAAATCATGTAAAATATTTGGAATTTAAATATAAAAGCTCACAAAAATAGCCAAGGTTACAATTCAATATAGAAACGATCTGAAAACAAAGGCCCAGTGACATTAGAGGATAAACAATACAGGTTTAGAAAGCATTTATCCCGGCTGTGCTAGGGAGAGGCTGTGGGGACAGGGTGAAAGGTGGTGCTGAGAGGATGAGGACAAGTTGGGGTTCTGCCAAGAGTGCTTTTTAGAGAACTCTGCAGAGCCGTGGGGTCATGGAATAGGCTGCTTTCTGTGCATCCGGACCCTCCCAATCAGGCCAGTGTGGTGTAAGAACATCCAGCCATTTGAAACGTTTGATTTCTAGAATGAACTGTGGGATCTGTGCTGTCAGTGAGCAGATGTGAGATCCTGAAGGTGAGGAATAAAGACTGGCCCAGTGTTGTGTGAGACAACCTAGGATAGGCCTGCTATTGACTCTTAGGAGAAGACCCAACCCAAACCTGTTGCTAGAAATATTCTTTTCCCTTCACATTCACTGACTGTTAGATATCCTGGTGGAGGTAGGGCAGAGTTAGGGAAATAGACAGAATTTGTGGTGGCATAGACATATTTTATCTCTTTCCACTACAGGATATTCTTGCCTTTCTACCAAGTTTGAAAAAAGAGCTTGCATAAGGAAAAACACTTAGTATCCTTTTCACTGGAGAAAGAAAAGGTTACCCATTTGGCTTGTGTTATAGAATTAACAAAGAATATTTTTCCCAACCTCTACGCCTGTATCACTGCCCAATCTTGCCCTTTATCATTGTGCTAGAGAAAAAAACTAAGAGGAGCTAAAAATAAAATAGTGTTAAGATTTTTTGGAGTCATTTGCTCAATGTGAAAAAAGAAATTCTATACATTTGGAAGGAAGAACCTTAATTCTAGCAGTTTGGTAAGGAGTTGAGGAAGAGGATGAATAAAAGAGACTGGTTAAATTAACATTTGAACCAAATAACAGAAATTTTTAAAGCTTCAAAATTAGTGACCTAATTTTGAAAGGTGTTGGTTTTAGGATTGTTTTTCCATCCTGTTAGACTCATATACACAGAGCTGTGAAATCATGCAGGAGGTGGCTGACCTTGAAGGGATGGTCCAGCAGAGAGAGAGATGTCCTTCAGAGGTTCAGTTCAGTCTATTGTGAAGGGCTCCTATTTCTGTTTGGGATTTAGAATCCTTTTAGGCCCTGGCTGGTGTGGCTCAGTGGATTGGGTGCCAGCCTGAGAACCAAAGGATCACCAGTTGTATTCCCAGTCAGGGCACAAGCCGGGTTTGCAGGCCAGGTCTGCAGTGGAGGGTGCATGAGAGGCAACCATGCACTGATGTTTCTCTCCCTCTTTTTTCCCCTCCTTTCCCCTTTCTAAAAACAAGTAAATAAATAAGAAAAATCTTTTTAAAAAGAGAATTCTTTTAGTAGTTTACCTGGCAAATAAATATTCAGAATCTCCAAGAGTGTCTGTCTTTCAGGGCTCTATGAAGAGAGTGACTTTTATATTGCTTGAGTCACATTTGACATTTGTTTTCATCACCCGTTGCCTCTGTGGCTCCAAATATAAAAGAAAAAAAAAGACCTCCACTGTCAAGAGATTTGAAGAACAATTCTAATCTCAGGAGAAATTCTACTCAGAAGTGTTTCCATAATGAGATCTTCCCTACCCAAATCCTCATTATTTTGTCTGGAGAGAGAACGATTCTACTAGATCCCTGGAAGTTAGGCTGTGGGCAGTAACCTCGTTTATTGCTTGTTTCCCTTCACTGGGGTGTAGGCTTCAGGAGAGGAGGTCGGTTTGCTCACTGTGGAATCCACAACACTAGTACCTTCCCCGGCACAGAGCAGGGTCTGCAGAACAACTTGGGTAAATGAATAAGAGAAACTACCACACATATCAAACACTGTGGGCAGAAAATAAAAAGCCGTGCTTTCAAATATGAACTTCCAATTTAACATTACCAGGAGTGGAGTTGGTATCAAAGTGATTCTCATTTCTGTGTGCACATACATTGTCAGTAGCTTTGGGTATTCATTTATTTATGTTAATAAAAGTAAATGTTAGTCTGCCCTGCCCATCATGGCTCAGTTTGTTGGAGTGTCATCTGGTCGAGTGAAAGTTTGCAGGTTTGATTCCTGGTCAGGGCACGTAGCCAGGTTTCGGGTTCCATCCTCAGTCAGGGTGTGTATGAGAAAGTGGTCAGTAGATGTTTTTCTCTCTCCCTCTCTCTTGGAAAGCAGTGAACAAAATGTCCTTGGGTGAGGACAAAAAAAAAAAAGTTAATGTTAATCTGAGTAATACTGGGGAACTGGTTAGAAGTGAAGAAATGAAACCGGGAGTGTGATATAAGCTTCAGGAGCCTCCACAGTAAGATGATGGAACTGGAAAAAGACTGCATGGTTCTTAAGATTCCTTTTAATTCCCAATTCCTAGGGAGGATGATTAGTATTTGGGGGTGGTGGTGGTGGTGGTGGTGGTGGTGTGTGGGTGTGTGTGTGTGTGTGTGTGTGTGTGTGTGTGTGTGTAACCTTGCAATGCTACATCTGGCCACAAGATGGAAGTATTATCTGTTTTATAACCAAGTACTATGCTGTGTGTGCTGTATGGAGCAAATAGAGTCAATCCAGAGGGCCATGAGGTATATAAATTCCTGTAGCAAAAATACTGTGGGTGAGGGGTACGTTAGCTTGGAAAAAGCAAGTGTGAAAGAGATCATTTCCTTTTGTGATATGATAATTGGGAATAGTTTGAAGTATAGCTTCCTTCCTTCCTTCCTTCCTTCCTTCCTTCCTTCCTTCCTTCCTTCCTTCCTTCCTTCCTTTCTTCTTTCCTTCTTCCTTCCCTCCCTCCCTCCCTCCCTTCCTTCCATTATGGTTTTTGCCTCTCCTTCCTTTATTCCCATTTCGTTTTTTGACATTCTCATTTGGTTGCATGTAAAGTGACAAGTCAAATGAAACAGAGATGTGAAAAGAGGTTAACATTGTCTCCATTTTCTTTAAATCTCAACCTCCTAAGGTAACTAAAGTTAATAGTTTCCTTTGCTGTTTCATGTTCCTCTCTCTCTATTCATACATATATTATATTTCTTTAGATATGTAAAGAATATCTTGCTGTGGCTAGCGTGGCTTAGTGGATTGAGTGCAAGCCTGTGAACAAAATGGTCACAGGTTTGATTCCCAGTCAGAGCACATGCCTGGGTTGTGGGCCAGGTCCCCAGTAAGGGGCACACAAGAGGCAGCCACACATTGATGTTTCCCTCCCTGTCTTTCCTGTCTGTGTATGGTCAGAACCATACACACAATGTATGTAGAAAGGGAAACACATTATAGAGGAATTGACCACTTCTGGACTTGCTTTTTGTCATTTTCCCATCTCTCATCTCTGTTCTTTGCGCACGGTTCCGTTGTTCAATGTTCACAGGATCACTTGGGCTAAAACCTGTGGATTCATCTATAAAATATGCATGTAAATACACTTGAATAAGGGAAGCAGCTTATTCAAGAGCAGCTTAGGAGGCAGCTCAAAGTCACCCACTCAGGAAAGCAGCTCCTCCCCTTGTGTGTGTTCTGGGGTTTGCCTCCAGATTGAACTTTGTCCCTCACCCACAGGAAGTGGGGGAGTGACATGCTGGCTCCAGTGGCTCAGGAGCAGGATGCAGTGTCTGGCTCATAGTGTCCTGCCTCCAATGTGGGGAGTTTTCCTTCTTTACGTTTTTCTGACAGTGGGAGGTAAGTCTCAAGTTAAGTAGGCAACATACTTGGGAACTTTCAAAATCATTTTCTTACCGCTAAATTAAATGGTTGTCACTTCTCACACTTTTAGTAAAGGAACCTTTCCCCATATACATTTTCCTTGTGTGGTGCTGTCTTGGTCCTCGTCACTGTCCTTGTCCTTTTCCTGCTCTTTTTTAGCCCAGTTTATTTCTGTCTAAGGAACTTTTCTACCAAAGGCAGTTTTTTGTGAATACATGGAAACAAACCTTTTAAATACTGATGTAGCTTCCAGGAGTGCTGCCTGGGTAACTGTCATGAGTCTTGTCATAGGCACAGAGGGACAAAGCGTTCAGCAGCCCCCTGAGGTGACAGCAATGGAAGGAGCCTCTGTCCAGGTCAACTGCAGCTACCAGACGACTGCGTTCAACGGGCTGTTCTGGTACCAACAACGTGACGGCGGAACACCCACATTTCTCTGTTACCATGTTCTGGATGGTTTGGAGAGAAGAGGTCCTTTTTCCTCGTTCCTTAGTCGCTCTGATACATACAGTTACCTTCTTCTGAAGGAGCTGCAGGTGAAAGACTCTGCCTCTTACCTCTGTGCTGTGAGTGACACAGTGAGTGTGAGGCCCCTTCAGCTGCACCAAAATTCAAAGGCAGCCAGGCAGTGAGAAGTTGTATTTCCTGGGTGTATGCCTGCTCTGGGTTGAGATGGGGATTTTAGAACCAGACTGCCTGGATTTGCAGTCCATTTTAAGAGTATCTTTCTTGCATTCTATTTCTTTTATATTGTCTTCAAATTTTCAATGATGTTCATTAAACATTACATCCTTACTGTCTATTAGGTTTAGAGAATGAGTAGTTATTATTGTGGCTTTGTTCCCACCCAAGACAAAGATGACCAAAGCTTGGAAAGAAAAATTGTAGGATATTTGGGTATCATAACTGAGGTGTCCTCAGGTTAAAATAAGATATAGTTAGTCATATGATATATAATTTGTTTGGTATCAAAGATTAAACAAAATTATCTTTGAGCAAACGTTTTTCTTACCCTCATTAGAGGTATTTTTTAATTGATTCTAAAGAGAGAGAAAGATGGATGTGAGAGAGAAACATCCATCTATTTACTTAATATGTGCTACTACGGGTGATAGTACCTGCAATCTTTTGTTGTAGCAGGTGATCCTCCAACCAGCTGAGGCACCCAGCCAGGACTCTGAGTAAACTTTTTGAGATAGAATTTGAATGGACATAATGGTGTTAGGAAGCAATCTAACATTATGAATCAAAGCCATTAAAACATTCATATTCTGTTTACTGGATAATCCTATTTTGAACTCCACTTAAAGAGAGGCAGGTTTGAAAAGAGGGTTAGGGTTAGAGGCTTTGGACTTTGGAGTGCTTGTACAGTATCCTTATTCTTTAGGGTAAAATATGGGCAACAATCTTAAGTAAGTTATGATCAGTGGAACATTTTAAAGGTATGTTAGTTTAGTGCTGCATAACAAATGATCACCGCACCTGTATATTTACTTAGATCTGTAGGTTAGAAGTTCAGGCAGTTTCAACTGTTTAGGATATCACAAGTCAAGGTGTTGGCTGGCTGAGTTCTTATCTGGAACTCAGGGCCTTTGTCCAAGTTCATCTCTATTATTGTCAGAATTCAGTGTCTTGTGCTTACAGGACTGAGGTCCACATTTTCTTGCTGTTTGTGGGCTTGGGACATCTTCAGCTTCCTAAGGTCACCTGCATTCTTTCTCATGCAACCCATTACATCTTTAAAGCAGCAACAGCACTTCAAGTGTTTCTCGTGTTTGGAATCTTTTGGCTTCATCTTCTGCCTTCTTCCTCTGCCAAAGACAGAGATAATTCATGTACATTTAAAATCTCATGTGTGGACTTCTGGTCAAGGTGGAGGTGTAGGTAAACATGACTCACCTCCTCACAAAACCACATCAAAATTGCAACTAAGTATAGAACAACCATCACTCATAACCTTCCTAAATCAAGTTGAATGGATGTCTGACAACTATGGAATTATAGGAACCACATCCATTCATACTGGAAGGAGGGGTGGACATATTGAATGGGCTAGTGCTACAGTCATGTGTGGTGGATACAAATTTGGGAGGGGTATGTCGGGAGGGAGGGGTTTCATCCCAATGCCAGAGCACTGAGCCCAGTTTCGGTGCCAGAAATATGAGTCCCCATAATTTCTGGCTGCAAAAACCAGCAGGGACTGAGTTGGTGAAAGAAACTTCCAGAACCCCAAGCAATTCCTCTTAACCCACACATGGACTTATTCAGACTTGCTCTCTCTGAGCTGAAGCTCGGAGCAGCTTGAAAGGCACCAGTGGCATAAAGGGAAGAAGCGAAGTGTCTGGCATCTAGACAAGAGCTGGAGAACAGCTTGCTCCCAAATAGAATGGTGAGGAGAGTCCATTGTTCCTTTTCTGAACCTTTCCCCAGAAAGCCACAGAGCAGGCAGGCAGGTGCCATATCTGAGATTCCTTCAACCTGGCTAACACTGTTTGCTCCACCCTGGTGAGTCCCTGAGGCTCTGCCCCACCCAACTTTCAAACCCACCCAAGCAAGCCATTAACAGTGGCTAGAGCTGTTGGGCCTGGCCTTTGGGATCACTTTTCCATTCCTTATTTATTTTCCTACTGTCTTTGTTCTGTGGTTCTAATAATGGTGTGAAGAACCCCTGTTATGTTGGTAGCGTTTATAATGGTTACAGCCTGCTGCATATTTATTGCCTTGCATTGATGGAATCCCGCCAGGGCCTATCACATTTGCTGCCCCCATACCCTATCCTCCTCAACGTCAAACTCCACACATGGTCTCTCCATCTCTTACCCCACAAAAATGGATACAGGTTGTATTACATTTCAGTACGTCACTCTTTTATTAGTTTATAATATTCCATTTTATGGGTATACTATGTTCTGTTTATCTATTTGACAATTGATAGACATTTTTGTTCTTTCTACTTTTTGGCTATTATGAATAATGCTGCAATAAATATTTGTGTACAAGATTTTTTTTAAAGATTGTATTTATTTACTTTTAGAGAGAGAGGATAAGGGAAGGAGAAAGAGAGGGAAAGAAACATCCATGTGTAGTTGCCTGTTGAATGTGCCCTACTGGGGACCTGGTTCACAACCTAGGCATGTGCCCTGACTGGGAATTGAACCTACAACCCTTTGGTTCTCAGGTCAGCACTCAGTCCACTGAGCCACACCCACCAGGGTGTGTACAAGTTTTTGTGTGGACATGTTTTCAGTTTTCTTGAGTACAGGAGTGAATTTTCTGAGTTATGGTAACTCTGTGTTTAACATTTTGAGAAACTGCCAAATTGCGCCATTTTACATTCGTATCAATAATATATGAGGGTTCTAATTTCTTCACATCCTATTTGACACTTGTCATTGTCTGTTTTTTCAGTTAAGTCATTACAAAAAATGTGAAGTGGTGTCTCATTGTAACTTTGATTTTGACTTCCCTGCAGGCTGTTTTGAAAATACATTCATGCATTTATTGCCCATTTTTATTTTTATTTATATTTATTTATGTATTTAATTTTTAAAATTTAATTATTGTTCAAGTATAGTTTTCTGTCTTTTACTCCCATCCCAGCCCACCCTTCCTGTGCTCCCCACCTCCCTCCCATTTCCACCCCCCTTAGTTTTTGTCCATGTGCCCTTTATACTTGTTCTTGTGAATTCTTACCCTTTTCTTCTGAAATTCTCTCCCCTCTCCTCTCTGGTCCCTGTCAGCCTGTTTTGTATTTCAGTGTCTTTGGTTATATTTTGCCTTATTGTTTGTTTTGTTGTTTAGCTTGTTAAAGGTGAGATCATATGGTATTTGTCTTTCAACATCTGGCTTATTTCACTCAGCATAATGCTTTCCAGTTCCATCCATGCTGTTGCAAAGGGTAGGAGCTCCTTCTTTCTTTCAGCTGCATAGAATTTCATTGTGTAAGTGTATCATAGTTTTTGGATCCATTCATTTACTAATGGGCACCTAGGTTGCTTCCAACTCTTGGCTATTGTAAATGTTCATGGATTGTGTCTTCCTTGATTTCTTTCTTCAGTGTTATGTTTTTCTGCATACAGGTCTTTTACATCCTTGGTTAGATGTATTCCTAGGGTATTTTTCATTATATCGAATGGGATTTTATTCTTGATTTCTGCTTCTGCTGTTTCATTTTTGGTACACAAAAATGCCTTTGATTTGCTGCTATGAACATTGGGGTGCATAGGTTCTTTTGGATTGGTGTTTCAGGGTTCTTAGAATATAATCCTAACAGTGGAATTGCTGGGTCAAAAAGCACATTCATTTTTAGTTTTCTTAGAAAATTCCATACTGGTTTCTATAATGATTGTACCAGTCTGCAATCCCACCAACAGTGAACTAGGGTCCCCTTTTCCCCACAACCTCTCCAACACTTGTTCTTTGTTGCTTTCTTTATGATGGCCATTCTGACCAGTGTAAAGTGGTATCTCATTGTGGTTTTAATTTGCATCTCTCTGATAGCTAGTGATATTGAGCATCTTTTCATGTGTCCCTGGATCTTTTGTATGTCCTCCTTGGAGAAATATCTGTTTAAGTCCTTTGGCCATTTTTTAATTGGGTTGCTTGTCTTAGAGTGGAGTCATGTAAGTTCTTTGTATGTTTTGGAGATTAAACCCTTGTCTGAGGTATCATTGGCAAATATGTTTTCCCACAGAGTTGGTTCTCTTTTTATCTTAATGCTGTATTCTTGAGCCATGCAAAAACCTTTTATTTAGATGAGATCCCATTTGTTTATTCTTTCTTTTATGTCCCTTGCTCTAGGGGACATATCAATAAAAATGTTGCTGTGTGAAATATCTGAGATTTTCCTGCCTATGTTCTCCTGTAGGATTTTAATGTTGTCACGGCTTATATTTAAGTCTTTTATCCACCTTGAATTTATTTTGGTGTATGGTGTAAGTTGGTGCTCAAGTTTCATTTTTTTGCACATAGCTGTC